GTGGCACAGCAGGTCATTCCTGCTTCCTCCTGGACTATGGGGGTTTATTCTGCTCTCAATATCCACAGTAGGTTTAACACACAAGTGTAATTTCTCTGACATTGACCAAAGCCACCAATGCCACTAGAGACATTCTGTTGTTATAGCAGCCCACACCAGAGATGAGCTGTACCAGCAGTAAACTAAAGGCCCAATACCACCCAGCCAACCTGTTCAGCATAGAAACACAGAATCATAGAATCCTTTAGGTTGGAAGAGACCTTTAAGACCATCAAGTCCAACCATTGAGCCAATAGGGCTCTAAAGTCCTCTGCTAAAACAGATCAGAATCTGTCAGGGTTGGAAGGGACCACAGCGTCACCCAGTTCCAACCCCTCTGCCATGAGCAGGGACACCTCCCACTACATCAGGCTGCCCAGAGCCTCATCCAGCCGGGCCTTAAAGACCCCCAGGGATGGGGCCGCAACCACCTCCCTGGGCAACCCATTCCAGGGTCTCACCACTCTCATGGGGAAGAACTTCTTCCTCACATCCAGCCTGAATCTGCCCACTTCCAGCTTTGCCCCATTCCCCCTAGTCCTGTTGTTACTCGAGATCCTAAAAAGTCCCTCCCCAGCTTTCTGGTAGCCCCCCCTAAGATACTGGAAGGCCACAATAAGGTCACCTCGGAGCCTTCTCTTGTGAAGAGTGAGATACCTCAGGAAGTGGAAAGGACATTATGCAATTCGATCAAAACTGGTCGGCTTTCGTGTACTCTTGTGATCCCTACACCAAAACCTGCCAGTGACAACAATTTCAAATGTCAACAGATCTAACAGCTCATTTTAACTCCTACCAATATCTAGTCAGACTGATGGAAACTCAACGTATGCAGTCCCAGCTATGACCCATGTTTATCTGCAGCTAAAAAAATCTCAGCTTTTCCCTTTGACTTCCCAATCAGCTTGTTCTGGGTTTTGACAATACTGTTTGAGTTACAGGAGTTGTACCTACTTCAAAGATTGACAGACCCCATTTGCCAGTGGTTAGAGGTAACTAACTAAGGTTAGTTAGCTTAAGGTTACTAACTAAGTTACCTACTAACTAGGTAACTCCCCAAATGGGGACCTCCAGTATCCAAAGGCAAGTTATATCAGCCTGCTTAAAAAAATGGGCAAGCAAAAGCTGCTAGTTTAGAAACAACAAAGTGCATGCTTTAGGTATCTAGGAGAGAACTTGGCTGATAAAACTGAACAGCTGTCCACATCATAAGCAGCGCTCTGAGTTTCCCCGCTAACCAGTCAGCCGAGGAAGCAGCAGCGCAGGTCCTGCAGGGTTCTGCTCCCAGCATGGCAAAGTGCTATTGCACTGTGACACCCAGCCGCAGCGCAGAGGAGCCCAGCGTGGAGCCGCAGAACCAAAGCTTCACCATGGGTGGTTCCTGATCCACGGGAGGCAACACTGCCCAGCTGAACGGAGGTCACTGCTGCACGCCCAGATCGGTGGAGGGCAAAGGGCTGAAGGGTAGTGTTGCCACCACTCCCAAAGTGAGCTCCAGCAGCCGACCAGCACGGTTCCCTGCACTTCATTCTAAGCCTTTCCTACTCTGCACTAATGCCTTATTTTTAATTGAGACACATAATGGGCCTCATTTACAAAGTGATACCATCACACCTGTATCTCAGCAATAACCTCAAGCCTTTTGAAAAAATCAGCTCTTAAAACTTTCCCATTTTCCATCATTTAACTTTTGAAAAGCTTTGAAATTCCAACAAAGCAAAAGGGTCTTTTTTTCTAAATCCTTGTCTTGTAACATAGCAACCACAACCAAACTGAAAGATTTAAAGACATAATCATAATTCTGGAAAATCTATCTATTCCCAGTGAACATGAAAGCTACACATGAAGGATAAAAATGATATAATACGTTGTTTTAAAAGTGATGATGCAGTGACAGTTATGCAACAAACAAGTACTCAATATCTTTCCAATTTATAGTAACCCCTTGGTCTCTTTAGTCTACAGGACTTATGCTCTTAGCACTTACACCAGTTTTATACTTGTATATACCCACTCACTTTAATTGAACTATCCCAAATTTATATCACAATAAAAGAAAGTAGAATCACCTCCTATGTACTTAAGCTTTTTAAGGGCTTAATCTAATCCCTTCAGAACAAATAACCAAAAGTAAAACAAAGCGCAAAGCTCTGGAGTCCTACCTGCAGTTAAAGTGTTTTATTTTCTTGCATTTAAACTATTGATTAAAGAAGTTATTGTGGACTTCAGCCATAAAGTTAAAAGGCCTTCCCATTTAACAGCAAATTTACACTAATTACTATGTACCTGTGATAGGACCTTTAGCTTGTAGCCTTGTCACGGACATAGAAGTAACACCTAATAGAGCAGTTTTGAAGTTGAAGGTATTTTTTAGAAGGCTGGGATATAAATTCACCTATCTACCCCTGCTGAGCACTACTCTGCAAGTGCTACCTCTTGAGCTGCTGCTTTTCTGTGTTGGTGGACATAATCCATGGTATGTTCTTCATTCAGTCACGGGGTGCTCTCTACCCCAGCATTAAAAACCAACCTCTAGAGAACCCCCTTCCTCCTTCTGCTCAGACTCGCTCTTTCCAGTCTGTGTCCTCCCTCCTTTTCTTTGCTGTGCCTGGAGCATGCTTTGGAAAATTCCTGCCCAAAGAATAAAGCTAAAGAAAAGGCTACCTGTCCTAAACTCAACCAAAAAACAGCAAATAGCAGATTTCTAGGAACTGGGAAAGTAAACAGGGCTTGCACCTTAAAAGATATTAAGACTAATCTGATTAGGCAAACACAAGCCAGAAAGAAAGAATGAACAGTCTGTGTTAAGACCAGACAAATGAAGGAGAGAGCCTTTTATTTCTGCTACTGAATCTCCTTAAATTCATCATCTTCTTGTAAGGAGAAGAAAGAAAGGATAACTGTTTGGTAAGCCTCAGCAAAGCTACAGAAAGGATGGCATATATTTAAGTGGAAGAAAAGCATAATCTTGCTCAGTATGACACTGCAAAGAGAATATGCTGAAATAAGGAGAATAGCAGCACCAAAGACTTGTGTTATTTTGTAGGGATTAACACTGCATCCCTCTATGGCTGAAGGCTGCTACTTTCCAATTTGAAGTACTTCCAGTAACTCAGCCCCCAGTTCCCAAAGACCAACACCAAATCATAAGGCCACAAAATGTAACATGGACCAATAGCATCCTTAAAAACATCTGGCTTCTGTACATGAATACAAAATTCTGGCCCCCACAGCCTTACAGCCAGCAGACCCATAGCATATACTGCAACATTACAGCTTTTTATTCCTGCTTCTTTCTGCAGTATTGAACAGCCAAATCAAAGTCTAATAATCAGGCACTAATGTAAAATTCTCCTCAACACTGCATAGAGAGAGAAGGTCACGGCCTACCACCTGCATTTGGAGATATTACATCCCTAGAAATAACAATTAATGAATACCAGAGACTTTTTTCCTGGTTTGCAATATTTTCAGTTAAGTGGCTCTATTAACCTGTAAGTCTACTGTTATTTTTCTGGGCTGGCTCATTAGGCAGTTTATCCTAGCTCACACAAACACTCCACTGAAGGTACTGCCTGAAGAAGTGAAGGTGTGTAGGTATGGCAGGATGGGGAAGGTTTAAGAGTTCATAGGCTCATAAAAACCTGGGCACAGAAGCAATATACCAAAACAAAAGGTTTCCGTCTACAGCAAGAAAACTATCAGTGCTATGCAGGTTCTCACTTTTGGGGCTCTCCTGGCTCTACCCCAAGAGCCCACAATCATTTGCACTTTAATACAGTGCAACGTCAAAAAGCAGAAGTGAGACTCTAGGGAGAGAGACATCTCTGCTCACTCCCTGATGAACTACCAACCAGTCTACCCCAATCAGGTGTCACCTGCACCCACGATCCTCTACAAAATCAGCAAGACAATGTGTTAATCTGTTGTCTTTGAAATCGAGGTGCATTTGGGCAGGAGCAAAAATCATTCTTTAAGAGCCTTTTCATAGGATGTAATCAAGCAACAGAATTTTTGGGTTTTTATACTTCCTCTCTTCTGCTAGCAGGGTGCATAAAAATGATTAGCATTTGATTTTGAATGAACCCAACAATACAGAGACACTTCTACAGGTTCAACCTCCCTAAGAAATGTATCTTGCAAAGGCTTTATCAAAGGTTTTGACAGTATCTGGCAAAGCCCCACAACTCATGACCTGAGCACTGAACAGACCTCCTATCAAACACACACTGATTCCCAGACAGGGAAATTTGTCTGCATGCATATAAAAAGCTATCCATTGTGAAACATTTTACAGTCAACCTCAGATCATGTCACACGAGAAATTAAGTGATTTTTTTTTCTTTGCCAAGCAAACTAGCAGCCCCCTATGCTAGCCTGGCCACACATAATGGCATGGATTTGTAGACCAGAAAGGAGAGATCCCCACCTTCTGCCAGAACAAAGATTGCCATAAACCAAGCAAACACTCATGAACTGCAAAGTTTCCCATTTCAAGAAGTACCCAGAAGGAAGCTGAGTAAAGTCCAAGCTACTGCCTCTTATCAGTTCCTATTTTCTTCAAGGAGGACCACGATCTTTTTATGGGGAATCATTAAATCTTATGTAAAAATTACAGTTTAAAAGTCAATAAAGCACAGCCCTGGAGACCTGCACAGTCTCTGTGCAGCTGAGGAAATTCTCTGAAACAACAATCAGGATGAAAGCCCCTTCAGAGAACAGGAGTACCTGCTCTCAATTTTTAAAATATGAAAATATAAACTGTAGTGGGTGTAATTTAATTTCATTTCTATCTGTAAGTGTAATTACTGTAATAACAATAATGATAATAGCAATAATTACAAGAATATTGCTAACAATAAATAATACCTCTAATCACAGTTACCATGAGTAAGTGATCAAATCCATAATCTCTCTGAGACAGAGAGCACACGTCACGCGACGGCCTCCGCAGACCTGCTCTGAGGGAGGAATCTCTGCTCTGCACAAGGCAGCACCAAACAGGGCCGGCTCCACATCCAGAAAGAGGGGGAAAGGTGCAATACCTGGGGCAGGGCTGCAGCAGGTCCTTCCCTCCCGCGCCGCACGCTTCCCTCTCCTCCAGC